GAAGTTTGTCTCTTCCAAACCAAATGCATGAAGACCAAAGAGGTACCTAGAAATAGCAATGGTTGAAAACAAACAAACAAGCAAATTAGTAGCAATTAAGGCTATGCTGACGATTTTGTTCAGTATTCTCAAACCAGTCAGTCCTGTGAGTGGATCTGATAAATGGGGTCAGAACAACCCAAGAGTGTGGCCTGCATGTTCAGTCTGTAGCTCAAGTCAACTTACATCAATGTAACTATAATGTGACTATAAAGTGACTATAAAGTCATGGGTGATAGAAGTGTTGAGACACTTCATTGTATTTTCACTTGCCTTGGAAAAATCCCCCCAGTCCCCCTAAACGATGCTGGTTTACTATCCCTATAACCGAGCAGAACACGGGTAGACAGAGCAACTGCACATTATATCACAACACTGAGTCGGAAGGGGGCAGTGGGGGGGGGGGGGCGCTGGTGTGGGATTGGAGAATCATAGCTAGAAGCATTATGAAATACGTAATGTCTCTTGAAACTACTTATGTACTTTTGTCCTTATCAACAAAACGACTGAGAAGTTCGGCTTTGAGATTGGCTTCGCAAGGAATCCACTGGGCATTGTACTTATGTCTCAAGCTCATTATTGTAAAGTGGAATCCAAAGTTTTTAGTAAGGTAGTATCATGAGGAATCGCAGATAAAACTATTAATCAAATAGTTTTAAACTGTGGGGAGGGAAATTACTTATGGTTCAAGTGATCGTGCGGTTCAAAAATACAGGGTCTGAGAAACAAGGATTCCACTGTATGTCAAAAGCTACTGAACTACATGTAAAGAAGAATCAAACTCGACCTCCAACATTAGTCTACATGTACAAGCAGGGCTCGAAATTGCGACTCACTGGTCGCCAATGCGACCANTTCAAGTTATCAGGAGGTTCAAAAACAGAGGGTCTGAGAAATAAGGATTCCACTGTATGTCTTCCAATGTATAATTTCAAGAACAACTTGACCTCCAACATTACTCTACATGTGTACAGTCATGCAGCTGCACTCAGCCCCAGAGGAAAAGCTTTTCTCCTCCGAGGGTGGGTACTGCTACAGGTACATCTGTAGGCTATATATTGACTCCAACATGCACATGACCTAATAATATAATTCAGAACAAACGTCAATAAAAAATAATTTTAATGGTTATAAACTATTATCACTCATAAATAATAATTCTTATAATTAATTAAAAATTAAACTTCTGAATCATTACCCATATAATGGCATTTCTTTTTTCCAGTGTGGGAAAACTCTGGCAACACTATCTCTTATCCGGTCCTTAGGACCAAAAAAAATACCGTAGTCTGTCAGCATCTTTAGTGCAAAGATATCTGTAGGATATGCTACAACAATTTCATCCCAGATGTCTTGGGCCCTAGGTATTTTTCTAGAATAAAAAATTAGTACAATGTCATATTAATAATTTGAATCACATTTTGATTGTCAAACAATAATAATTAATTGTAATTTAACTATGACCACACTGGTCTGGTACAAGCAGTACTTGTTTAGGGGGAAATGGTGTGAACACCCATTCTTGCACTGTTGCAACCAAACATCTGAAGTGGTGGTGAAAAACTATCAACTGAAGGTCCTTTTAAAAACCATGGGTATCGTAGAATTTTCATGAATCAAATTTCACGGACCATCTTGCAGTCTTTTTAGACCGTTTAATGTATGCATGTTACAGTCTCTGCTTTTTTCACAAAGTGTTTTGAGTCTTGATTTTTCACAAGGGTAAAAAAGTCTCAAAGTCCCGATTTTAATGTTTGTCTTAATTATATAAATGAAATGATAGGGTCTGAATGTCTTCGGATTCAGAGATGAATTACTCTTAATACAGCTTCATCTCACCCAGCATATAATGCTATTGCAGCTTCTGCATGCAGTCTTTCTCTGTCAGTAATTAGATCATTGTCAGCAGCTAGAGATTGGATAACATCCATAGAATCTTTGATCTGAATTTCATTTGCCAAGACATGACCCATAACTAAAAGAAAACAAGAAAACTTAGATGTACATGTAAATATGTTACTAATTACACACGAATTATATTTATAAGGCCCATCTACATGAATTCTGAAAATACAGTGTCACCTGGCCCTCAGTCGCAGATGCTGAATAATGACAACACGTCCTGTTTTCAAAATTATTCATTTCTGCTTCTTCATCTTTTAGCAATACAATGTATTTTAGTTTAAGAGCACACATAATAACACAATGGTGTACTCGCATCTAATCAATTCTTTTTGGTGGTAAAATTTGACACCACATTGGGTATTACACTTCATGTTTTGAATTTACGTTCAACTTGTTAATTAAAATAATTTTGTACCAATTAGTCTCTCATTATATGTTAATAATAATAATAATAATAATAATAATAAATAATAATAAATATTTAACCAGCTGATATTACCCTTCAGTACAAAGTACTGTTGTCAACGGGGTCCTGCTTAATTTGAAAACTTTAGCACTTAATGTTTTTTGATGAGTTTTGTTTCAGTTATAAGTCTCAGAAATGTTTCAGATCTACAGTATATAATTATATAGAAAAGGGCATTTCAAAATGATCATGACAAGACAGTTCTTGATACTACATGTACCAGTGTAACATATTTAAATATGTAAGCACAAAAAACAGCTGCAGTAAATACTTTTAGTTGCAAAGTAACATTGCTGACAATGAGAAATAAATTCATCAAATATTTACGGAAATTAGGATCTGCCTCAAGCATCCTCGTCACCGAAGTTTCTAATCCTCCAACAGTGTCATCTTCAAGATGAGCAACAACCTGAGACCAAGCATCAGAAAGAAATGCAATATTAGAAATAAGCCACAATTTCACATTAGCCCTCAGTAGACATAAGCATGTAATATCTTCAAACACTTCAAGAGGGAATCTCAATTTCAAGCCTCCTTAATATAAATAATTTTTTATACCTAATGGTATAAAATACCTTTAGTAATCATATTTATAATCAAAACAATATGCCTTTCACTATATTACATGTACCTTGAGCTGAAGATTTACTCTTTACAATTTATTCTACATAATGTAAGCAATTAAGAAATAGAAGACATATTTATTGTACCGTGTTTTTGTCGAGTTATAGAAACACGAGTAGAAGTTTGGGAGGACGAGAAATACTTTTTTGAGTTCTCCCAAACTTTCACAAGTGTTTCTATAAGTCGATAGAAACACGGAAAACATGTTTTCTATTTCTTTTAGAAAACTCCGCGACGAAAAAAAGGAAAAACAACTTGTTTACTTTATCTCAAAATGCAAATTATCTTTGCTTGTGCCATCATTAAGTCAACAGCTCATGCTAGTTCTGTGTTTCAATCAAGTTATAGAAACACATTTTTTAACCAATCAGCACACGTATTTTCTTAGGGCTGTTTTCTAACATATCATGTTGTATCCTAAGAACATTGTCATTAATTGTAAGGTTATTAAAAGTCTTATATGTACAATACAGAGCAATTGTAAAGATGTTTACTAGTGTGACTGAGTGTAACAAAAAGAGTTGCATCTGACACAGCAACAAATATTTAAACAGAGATGCCTGTAAATGCCAAGTACTTTTCAAATGCATCTTATGGTGCCAGTTTTCTATAACACAGTGATTGTTTTATTTAACTCTCTGTGTACTTGATACATGTAGATATATTTTGAATATTACTTTGAGTAATGGGCATAATCCTTTGTTGTTGTTGTTTTTTTTTTTCTTTGTTTGACTTGGTGACTTTACTTCTGTGATTGAAACAATCAATTCAGCCAATTAGATTCTTACAAGAGATTCAACTGTAATTGTGCTATGCAAATGTATTTGAAGACTTTTGAAAAGGATCAGTAGTAGATCTAGGGAAAAGGGCAGGGAGATGGTACTGCCCCCTGCCCCCCACCCCCTCCTATTAGTGAAAATGTTTAAAGCCCAAGGCAGCAGAAACCCTTTTGAGCCTTCACTTGAAAAGCACTAATCAGGGCAGGGAAAATTCCATGGCACCTACCTTATAAGAGTCTAGGTCTGCATCACTGAGGATGTTAATTATTTTGAATCATATTTAACTAACCTGACTTATTGTGGCATCAAACATTTTTGCAGCTTCATTGCTAGTTGTGGACAATAGGAGACCTTCTTTTCTCCACGCCTGTAAATAATAAATGCATTTAAATAATATACTCATTTAGTTTTGCAAGGATTAAAACATTATTACGAAACAGGAAAACAGATAAGCTTATATTGACGTTATCAAATAATTTGAAAACCTCCATACAGGCTGGCATTGGTGCGGAGCATAAT